AAGGCTGGCAGTTCAAACCCACCAGCCACTCCTCAGAAGGAAGGTTGGGCAATCTACTTCCGGAGTGATACTGCCTTGTAAACCCAAGGAGGGGTCGCTAGGAGTCAGATTCGACTCAACGGCAGTGAGTTATTGCATGTTAGCTATAGACCAGGGAATGGATTCCGATAGTGAATTGCTGCCCTGCTATGGTTAAACCCGTTTGGACTTTTCTTCCTTTTTAAAATATTTTTTTCTCCCCTCTTTAATAGATATATTGTAAAATCTCTATTGAGAGAGGTTGATTGTGTGTAAGACAAATATTAAAACAGAGACCGTGGGTAAGTCCTTTGAATAGATTTTGCCAAGGGTTGGGGCAAATGAAATGAATCATTGATGTACCGTAAAGGGTCCCGGGGAATATAGAGTTGTGCTTCGGCTTGGACATGCATTGTCCTGAGAGGAGACAGATACTGTGGCGACCAGCTGAGTCACGTGGTGGGAGGGGGCTCTTTTCTTCCTCCCCCACATCCCCTCCTCTGATGTCACAAATCTTTTCTTCCCTGGGAGAGTTAATTAGCATTCATTGGGTGCCTTGGCCAGGGGAAAGAAGGGAGCCAGCTCGCGTGTAAGAAAGCCAGCGAGGAGGGACGGCGTGGTGGGGGAGCGGTCCTGCCCCCCAGGCTCCGCATTGAGACTCGGGGGGCCCCATCGGCACAGAAGGGCTGCTTTATAGCTGGGATCCTCGGTGCCGTATGGCTGCTGGCTCCTTGGCAGCTGTCTTTACGGACCAGTGGGCAGAGGAAAATTAACGCTGACAAGACTTGCATCTTGGAAGGGACTGGAATCTACTGTAGGGAAGAACAGAGCCTCTCAATCACGCGGGTGTAAATAAGAGACGGAGGGGAGTCCAACAGAAAAGGAAGAGGAGGGGAGAAAAAAGTGTGTGCTGGGGGGAGCGGGGCAAAGCATTTTTGGTGGATGGTATGAAGCCAGCCATGGAAACTGCAGCCGAGGAAAATACTGAACAAAGCCAAGAGAGAAAAGGTACCCAGACTCCGACAATAGCCTGTTTTCCAGCTTTTCACTGGGGGTGCTTAAAGAGGTTGAGCCCGGTTTTGTCTCTTGTAAAATGGCTCGGAACCCATCTCGATGGCAGGGGCTTGCTTTCAGGGTGGCTTTTTCATGTCGAGGGTTGTTCACTGAGCAGAGCAGCACCCACTTTTCAACCCATGCCTCGTCCAAATCCTTCTAGCGAATGTACTATTTCATAGAAGGAGCCCTGGAGCTTGTCACCTTGGGGAGATGGATTGGGGAGGCAGTCTATTTTGATGAGTGTAATCAGTAGTCACTTAGGTCCTGTGTTCTGCATGTCAGTGTGCCTTAGAAGCCTTGGGCATATTCCAGGGACATGGGATGTCATGTTTTCTGCTAATGTTGAGGAGGAATTGAGGGGCACGCGTGTTAAATATGTTTTGGTACCACGACTGCTCTAGGGATTTGGCCATTCTCTTAGTGTCTTATTCTAACAGTGTTATTTCAGACGGTGGCTTGTTGGAGCTTGAGAGAAGGGGATGTCAGCTCTATCGCCTGGTGCTGATGGAAAAAGATGTGTGTGTGTGGGGGGGAGTGTCCCTCTGCTGTTCATGACTTGGAGGTTCAGGAAGGAAAATCGGGAAAGATTCTGTTTCTTAAGAGGAATCTTAGAACATCTCAGGATTTTGACATTCAGAATAGCTTTTGGGGAGGGAAAAGTTCCACAGCAAGAAAATGGCAGAAAAGAGGCTAGAATTAATCTCTTTTCCTCAGTAATGGGCTGATTTCAAGTTCGGTAGCCCATAGCACTGGCTCAGCCAGTTTGGTTGATGGCAACTCACTGCATTGTCGTTTATCTGCCTCACCCACAGTGACAGACTGTCTGTCACGAAGGGACAAAAACATATTCTATACCCACGATGGCCCTATTAGAGAAAGCCATCCGGTGCGGTAATTTCTCACCGCCTGGGGGTCCGGTGACAGCCACCAAACAATAGTAATTCTCCAGGACCGAGACACAGCTGGGTCTGCTTTATGAATATATAGGTCGAACCTTATGGAACTGCTGCTGCTTGCCAATCATTTTTCGCCCATAGCAACAACAGTGTTATAGAGTTGAAGTTAACAGCATTCCGATGGAAAGACTGCTTGTTTTGACATGGAATTTCTTTTGTGCACAATACTTTAGCAGCATTTTATCCTAAACAGAAGCAATTTTGGTTTTAAATTGGGAATTGAGTTCAATCCCCACATCAAAACCCTCCTCCCTCCTTCCCCTCAGCTAGAAAAAAACCCTGGCTTTGCTGGTGTGTGTGTGTGTGTGTGTGTGTGTGTGTGTGTGTAGTAATCCACATACATGACTAAATAGCAATAAGGGAAGCTCCTGGGAATATTCATGAAGCTGAAGAATGGAGCTAAAAGTTTACAGATTTCTTTCTATGATGATTAGAGACTAAGTGGATTGCATCCTTAGAGGTGTAATGACGGAATAGCGTTGTGCTGAGGAAGTCTAGCACGGCTAGAGCCAGTCAGTCTTTCCCAGACTAGATGATTCTGTCCAGTACCTAATTTTATTTTTATTAATATGGTATTTGCCAGTGGCAGTGAACACCATTTTGGTCTCTGCAAAAATGTACCATTTGCTTTTCTCTCCATAAGCAACCAAGAGTCAGAAAACCTATACAACGTTCTTACTACACAATTGTGTATCCCATCATCATTTGGTTTTAGATCATTAGTATTTGATGCCAGTTCAGTATCCCTTCAGCAAATATGCAGGCTGCCACTACATCCCTGGCAACCTGTATATGAAAAGTTGTTAGCTATGGTTTAGAAGCAAAATGAGAAGCAGAAGAGAATTCCTGAAGGAACTTTAAAAATGACCAAAATTGATCAACAAACACTAGCTCTTTTTAAAATTATCCAAAAATTCCAAGTTACCAAAAGATACCATCCCATGTGTCCTACAGGTTCAAATAAGAATTTGGGCCAGGTTCTTTATTTTCACTGATCTCTGGCAACTGGGATCCTGACTGCGATGTGACACCCCCCCCCCCAAATAAATGTTGATCTGGACGGTGGCCGGGCTACTTAGCTGCATTTAAATGAACAAGTTCCTATGCCAGCTGCCCAAAGTCAAAGCTCACCTAAGTATCTTCTTTGCCATTTCCCAGTTTGCCCACCCGGTGTCATTAAAGGCATATATACAAACATAAAATGACAGCCACAAACATTTGTGCTTATCGTTCCAATATTCCTTCCGATTTAATTTAATGTTTTATAAAATGTGTATTCTGTTGAAATTAACATTGGAAAATTTGACATAATTACTTAAAGAATGTGTTCTAGGATCCTTACCCAATGGATCTGTTTTTTTTTTTTTTTCCAATCTTTCAGCAAGGGATTTTTTAAAAATTAAATTTAATCCTTTCGTCACTCCTCAAAGAGTTTTTACGCACTCCTCCCCCCCCCCTTCCTATTCTCTTTCCATTGTTGACGCTAGAGCCAATGCCTGTCTCTTAGAAGTATGTCAGGATAGTACATCTGAGCTACTGAGTGAGATTCAGCAACACAGAGCACTGCTTTTTTAAACTAAATCAGAATGACTTTGCTCCTATTTTAAACCAAAATGAATGCAAGTCCTTAGAAAAGAAAGTAGGTGTATTTTGAAACAGTCTTAATAGCTTTTGTCACAGGATATAATTGTTGTTGTTGTTAGGTGCCATCGAGTCAGCCCTGACTCATAGCAATCCCGTGGATAACAGCATGACACGCTGCACAGTCCCGCGGCAGCCTTACAATCCTTGCTATGCTAGAGCCCAGCATTGTAGGATATCACCAGACGACCCAAACACACAGGAAGGATCTAGTACATATTCAGGGATTTTCAAGGAAAGCATGCAGGTTTTCTCAGACCGATGAAAGAAATGCCACATTAGTACAAATGACAATTTTTAAGTTGCAAGCATTAAATTAAATCAGAGGGTGAGAACCGAGTAAGCGAACTCCGGAAATGGAGTAAGTGGAGGAAATGAATAGAACAGAATCAAAGGAGATCGATCCCGAGACCCAATAATGAAGAGATGACGAGTTGGGTTACCATGTATTTCAGAGGAATGTGACTTGATATCAATTCATTTGTGAAAACAAACGCAGCTGGAAGGGCAAGGAGTGCGTCATCACAGAGTAGAAAAACAATTGAATCATAAGAACAACTCTGTAGGCTCTCTTCTGTGAGAAAAATCCTAATACTTGTGATGAAAATTATTTTTCTATTTTGGGAATTGGGATCAAGCCAAACAGTGATAGGCTAGTAAAACCCCTATGGACCGTTGGTGAGATACAGTACAGAATTCCAGGCATGAAATTTCAGTTCCCTGAGCACACTGGAAGGAGAATGCAGTGTGTCAGAAACAGTGTGGCATTTCAAATAAACGTCAGGATATAGTCAAAGTAAGAAATGAACTAGTCGTTGACTTGTTTTAAAAATGAGCACATCCATTTCAATCTTTTTAATCCAAGAGATGTAATTTCTTATTTCTTTTTAACTTCCCCAAATGCATGGCCCTTTGGCTCTTTCCTCTTTTTTTGTTCAGGAAGAAAAACGCTGCCTCTGGAATTCGTGGCATGTATGCTAAACGCCCAAAGCAACACGCTGAAAAGGTGACCCCAGTCCTGATGGTCCGTGAAGTCTTTGAGGGAGAATTTGAATGACATTTTCTAACCTGATTATATGACCGTGGTACAGAGAAAGTTTTAGACGCAGGTCTTCTCTGTAAGAACCTGCCAAGGAGGACAGCTGAAGAGAGAAAGTGTCTGGGGAGTAGACTATAGCGAGAAGAGTGGCCAGCCAGATGGTGCTGGACATATGTGCTTTGATTTTTTTTTTTTTTGGAAAATTTAAATATGGGAAAGATTGTAAGGGGCCATCTGACACATCTCCTACTTTTGCACTGATGTTCCATCAGCATGCTTTTGAAGATTCGGCCTTGCTAATTCATTGGTTAACATTAGAAAGGAATGCTGGCCCGTTCCTGGAACTTTGATTGGCCTTCTCTGAAACTGAGGGTCAACCCTCAATTTTGTCACTGTAATTAAATCAATCCCTTTCTCTGTTATTTAGATGTACAGGGAAATATAGGGTAAATAACCTTAACCAAATGACTCCTCCTGTCTTTCTGTGTCTGAGAACGTGTGAAATAGCCAATGTCCCATGAGGTAAGCGGCCCTCCCCTCACTGAGACTGGAGATATTGAATAGGATCGTTCCAAACACGTTCTCTTTCCTTTGTACATATGTGTGAGATGGTTTGCCAGGATGAGGGATGGCTGTACAACAGAGGAAGGAGGTGAGCACCGTGGCTTTTAAGAGCTGAAGGTGGCAATCCCAGCTTTACAAATATCTTTGCTTGGCTGCCCATTCATTCATTCACTCACTTCATAATGTTTTCCTTTGAAACATCATCTTTCCCTGTCCTCTCAGCTCATGGTATACTGAAAAGTATGCTAACTCATCTTAGGGACCATTCCCCCACCCCCCCAAAAAAAAACCTAACCCACCACCATCAAGTCACTTCTGACTCATAGCAACCCTTTATGACAGAGTAGAACTGCCCCATAAGGTTTCCTAGGCTGTAAATCTTTATGGAAGCAGATCAACCTTTTAGTTAACAGCAGAATGCTTTAACCACCACACCACCATTAGGCAGATTTGATCTTGGTGTTAACCACAATTGTGCCGATTGGTGGGAGATTACATAGCAGGCTACACGCTAGGAGGAGAATTTTGATCCTTAGCCAGCTCAGTGATATTTCTCTTCAGACAGTAGTGTAGTCAGAGAAAATAAAATAATTTGTATCTTATAGGCTGATTTTATTACTTGCATTTGCTGTTTTATATATTCAAGCTCTACTATGCTATATTCTATAGCAGGAGTCAGTATACCTTTTCTATAAAGGATCCGGTAGTAAATACTTTAGACTGAGTGAAACACAGTTTCTGTTGTACCTACTCAGTCCTAGCACAGAGGCAGCCAGAGACAGTACTTAAGTGCATGGGTGTGGCTCTGTTCCAATAAAACTTTATTTACAACAGCAGGTGGCCATAGCTTGCCAACCTCTACTGCATTCTATAGTGTTATAGCATTCCTTTAATCCTTTAAATAACAGCTAAAAATGAAAGATGGTAAATATGGCTTGCAAAGACCTTGCCCTGAAAATATGGCCTTTCCAGGAAGCCTAACCTTTGTCACTTAGTTGCTTCTGGTGACAGTACCCTAAATGCTAGGAAGCACACCAGTCTGCATTTCAGCTGCTCAACACATGTCATTAAATCACATTATCTAAGAAAAAGAAAAAATGTGAACAAGGCATTGGGTTTCTATTTTGTTTTCATTTATTTGTTTGATTATTTTATCCTGGGGAAAAAAATACATACATGACAACACATTTTCCACTTCCACATATTTTCCATATACAATTCAGTGACATTGACTATGTTCATCATGATGGGCAACCATTAACTATCCTTTGCCACATTCTCCTACCACCGGTAACAGTAACTCAGTGAGTAAGGCGTTGATGCCCCTCCCAACTTTCCATTGTTTTTTTCACACCCAACTCGGGTGATGATCCACCCACAGTTGTGTCTGTCTCCATAAGCCACACAGCTCACCTCAGCCCTAGCATTAACAATGGCTTGGATGTCGCACTCTCTTGCTCTTCTATAAGACTCTGGATAGATCCCCATCCTCTCTAAGGGGAAATGTTTTGCAGTCATAGCTGTTCAGGACCTCAGCCAGGGTTCTTCCTGAATGTGTACATTTCCCTGTCTTTTCAGCTGCTCAGACTTGACAAGGTGTTTTTAATGTACCATTTGAGCTGAGGCAGCTCCTCAGAGCTACGTGACTCCCTTCCAAGTGTTGAGACCTTGCCCATGGGGTTAAATATATATACCGTGCTCTTTGAAATTTTAGAAGTCACTTTAGATTTACTGTTTTTATTTAATGTTGGCTCAAAAAGCTAAAATGGACATGATTTTCTTTTATATCTAAATATTTCCAGTAGTAGAAAGGTCTCCTCAGAAGCATTAGTCCAGGTGGTTCAGAAATATCCCCACAGTTGCTGTCCCATCCCCACTGCTGCTGGACTATCGTGGTTTTCTAATGGATGAGACATGGCTACCATGCTTTGCTCAGAAAACACATTAGTGTAGAGCAGGCTGTGGGGTTTTTTTTTTGTTGTTGTTGTTGGAGGTGCCTAATGTTTGTAGACCTCCCCCTCCCATTCACATGATATGTGGACAAGCAGACAGAAGGTGACCTAAATGTGCCTCCCTGATTTGCACCCTGGCGTAGGTGGAGGTCAAGTGTAACAGGCCACCAGGAAATCCATTTCTTGGTCCACAAAGTCCCAGGTGTCAAAAGCTTTCATTGTTGCTCCCTTGTTTGCCACCAACTATTTACTCAGCAAACATTTATTGGGCACCTACTGTGTGCTGGGCATGTAGAGCTAAATATTTTTAAAAGGAGAATGACAATATTTAGATAAAAAAAAAATAATTGAACTTCTTGTTTGGGGCCAATATGGTGGGCTCACTGAACTTTATCGGAAAGAAATCAGATCATACAGTGAGGTGGCATGGACTTTTTCTGGCTCTTTCCACCAGTACCACTGGGTTTCATTGGCTTCAGAGAATGTAACATAACCTGTGTCCGAGACAGAACCTCGTGAGTAGTAAAACAAACACCTAATTCCAGTTTAAGGACTTTGAAGAACGTTGAAATAGTATTAGTGGCCTGGGATCTGGACCATTTCTTTAGGAGACAAAGAAGCACAGCTCACCTCCAAATGGACCCCCAAAGAACTTATTCTTGAGTTAACCACTGCCTCAGCCAAAGAGTAGAAAATTGGAGCAAATGCACAGGCCATGGTATGACAACATGTTGTGGTTGTTAGGTGCTGTCAAGTCGGTTCCAACTCATAGCAACTCTGTGTACAATGGAACAAGACACTACCCAGTCCTGCACCGTCCTCACAGTCATTGCTGTGTTTGAGCCCATTGTTGCAGCCACTGTGTCAAATACAGCATGGTGGAGTCCAGTTGCCCAGGCTCATGCTAGGCCCCTCTGTCCCCTGGCTGAATGATCTTGGGCAAGACTTATCATCTCCTTGCCCTTGGTTTCCTCATCAGTTAAGGCAGCATAATAATAGTATCTATTTCATAGGGCTGTCGTAACAAATGAGGTACCAGGTGTGATGTGCTTTTTTAGCACGATGGCTAGCATATCGTAAATACTACATATGTCATAGCTACTGGCTTTGTTATTGACAACAAAACCCAGCAGAGCAACAAAAACGGTTTTGTTGTTCAGATCTTATCCCAGCATCTTTTTAAACATGTTTTTACCTTACCTTGAAGTCCAAAAGGGTTTTCTCTGAAAGCCTACCTAGGAAATTGTGTCTCTCCTTCCCAAACTGAAATATCTGAAGCATTTTTAGAGATGATGGAGAATGGAGTTGGGGTTTTGTAAGGGAAAGCTTTGTGACATTAAGCATTTGTCTGCCTCATAACAGGGCTGCTTGCTTGGTCCTTGTCCTCAGTAATTGGAGGTTCTTGATCTGCTAACCAACATCAGTGACAGGATCACCTTTTGTCTTTAAATATTTGTGACACCTCAGAGGGATATGCCCCTTATTTTGTTTTGTGGGATTCTCAGACATAAAGCAGCCATAGCAACCTTAGGGTGTCCTATGGAGTTCAAGATTCAAGTTCAACTAACACTTACGAGAAGCCTACTCTGTGCCAGGCAAATTGGTAGATATTTTCCTCCTCAAACTCTTAAGAAGTGGGAAATGTAGTCATATGACCAGTGAGGGACCAGAATCCCTGAATAGCCAGTTGTCACTGTGCATAAGTAAGCAGTGGATCCAGCCCAAGACTAACAGCCCTTTCTCTGTAACATACTGGGAAAGAATTGGACCAGGGTTTAACCCAGAACATTCCAGATTCTGAAGCACTGAGCTTTAGACAAGGTGACAGAGACTGCTGCAGATGACAGTGAGAGGGTAGGTGTTTCATCCAAGACTCAGCAGACCATGAGTCTATCTGCAGATCCTCCAGATGAAGACTGGGTACCACTATGGCGCACGAGTTGGTCTTCGCCTTTGCTTGTGCAGCTGGCAATGATTATGTTGCACTGTTGGCCTGAAAATGAAATGGCAAGAACAATGAGATTGTGAGAAGCCACATTATAGCATAGTGTCTGCCCCAAATCAGCATCCTCAGGGGTGGAGGGGAAGGGAAAGATAGAGAAAATAAGGAAAGAAAAGACAATTGGGGGGATTTATGTAAGCTGACATGCAAAACTGGAGGGGAAGAGGCAAGCGTTGTCAGTTTATCATGCTGAGTGAAGAAGCGGCTGCTTATTGAGGGCTTGCATTTCAAGAGCATATTTGGTTAACACCCCAGTTTCCTTTAACTATATGGTAAAAGAATAACTAAAAATGCTGATATGGACTCTGTGCTGGAGATAGAGACACTGACTCTTTGCCACCTGAAATTGGCAGTGAACAGCAGAGCTGCAGTGGAAATTGGCAGGTACCACTGGATGTACCCAGGCTCAAAGAACCACCAGTACCATCCCGTGCCAACACAGGGGGACAGGGCTGGCCCCTTGAGCAGTCCAGGTAAATACAGCCTTGGGATGCATTCTAATAGCAAGTCACTGTTATATTGAATATGATTTTCATGGCTTTTTCAGTTTGGTGATATTTTATGTTTTTCTTGATGCATTAATTTGTTGCCCTGGGCATGGGTGGAACTGGTCCTTTTGAAAGTTGTCATCATCTTTCTTTTTCTCTCCCCCTCTCCATTGCACCCCATCTTTCTCCTCTTCTTTCACCTTTCTTCCTCTTTCCTCCCCATCACCGCCTCTTCTTAAAGGAAGCAGTGTACAGTGAATGAGCTGTGCCTTTGGGTGAAGCATGAAATGCCCATTACAGAACCAGTACTGGGGGAGGGCCACACACATCCAATCGCAGGGCCACAGACTGGGCCAGGGCACCTGTGAGTGTCCCCAAGTGGCTTCCCAGCCCGGCTGCTTGGCACCACTCTGATTTAACATCACTTGTTGCTTTTGAGAAGGAAAAAAATCAAAGCCCGTGGAATTAGGATCAGATAACTGTGTACTCATTCCCCAGCAGGTAGGTTCATGGGATCCGCTTTCCTGTTTCCTTGCTCAGGAAGGACGCTGGTCTCTCAGAACTACCAGGTGCTGGGTGTGGCTGAAGTGTGCGTCAGCCAATTGGGAGGTTGGAGGGAGGGAACGCCCTGGACATTCACCCCTCCACATTCCCAAAGTGTAAGTGGGTCTTCACACTCAGCACCATTAGCTAAGTTTCAGTGTAATTCAAATACAAAAAAGAAAAAAAAAGAACCTCACTGCCGTGGAGTCACACCCAACTCATAGCGACCCCTTCCTGGGCTTCTGAGGCAGTATCACTACGGAAGGAGATTGCCCAACCTTCCTTCCACGGAGTGGCTGGTGGCTTTGAACTGCGAGCCTTCTTGTTAGCAATCAAATGCCTTAGCCACTATGCCACCAGAGCTCCAGTAATTCAAATAACTGTATCTAAAGGGATGGTGGGCTAGATAAACACAACAACAGGCTTAAAGGATCGCTGTGATTTTGCCAGAAGCCGTGGTGTCATTGCTTCAAAATGGCCTCTTACATTTTCAGAAGTGATAGTGTAGCGCCTATAACCCTTGAAAGAACAATCCTCAATCACAATGTAACACGCCCACCAAACTGCAAAGACTAAAAAACCCATAACTAATTTAATAGTCAACCTTTTCCATTTTCCTTTTAAACCTGATTTGTGGTTTCCGGGTACTACATCATTCAACTTTGGGTTTATTTCTGTGTCTTCAGTAATTCTTTCCATCATTCTGCATATAGCCAGTAGGGGCCGGTTGGGGTGCGCCTATGCAACACTGTTTATAAAAGGGGAGCTGGAGGCCACATCAGGCAAAGAATGGCAGGTTCTGGAATCTTGATAAAGACTCTCCCATTAAACCCAAAAAAAACTACACCCACTGCCGTCAAGTGGATTTCAACTCACCATGACCTTATAGGATAGAGTAGAACTGCCCCATAGAGTTTCTGAGGCTGTAAATATTTACGGACGCAGACTGCCTCATCTTTCTCAAATCTGTCATCATGTGTGATATATCCATAAAATGGAGTACTCTTTGGTCATAAAGAGGAAGGAAGTCCTGATGCATGCTACAGCATGGAGCTTGGAAATAATGTGCTGAGTTGAAGCAGCCACACCCCAAAGACCAAATGTTGTATCATTGTACTCACATGACGTGTCCAGAGCTGGCATATTCATGGAGACAGTACATCAGTGGGTGCCGGGGCTCAGGGAGGGGAAAAAGGGGAGTGACAGCAGAGGGGTATGAAGTCTCTTTTGGGGTGATGGAAATGTTCTAAAATTAGATTGTGGTAGTGATTGCACAACTCCATAAATTTACTTAAAAAAAAATACTAAATCGGACATTTTACACAGGTGAATTTCATGATATGTAAATTATATCTCAGAAAAAAACAGTTGTAAAAAATGGCAAAAAGATGCCATTTGATGTGCACAGTCAATGGCAGAGAAAGAAAAGGACATATTGTGAATGTAGCAAGAGGACCCCCAAGGTGTCAGAAACTATCGCTTGAGGGAAGATGGTCTCATTTTAAGGATAAGTGTTGCGAGACACCAGGACACTTGGAAATCCGGGGCGGGGAGGAGTCTTTTCTGGATTTTTAGTTGATTAGTAAACTGTGTGATAAGAGCACACCCAGATCTGGTATCAGGGAAAACAGTCTCTCCATTGCCCACCAGTTGCCATCAAGTCAATCCTGACTCAGGGCGACTCCATGTGTGTGAGGGTAGAACTCCACTTTGCAGAGTTTTCCGTGGCTGATTTTTCAGAAGGAGGTCACCAGGCCTTTCTTCCAAGGTGCCCCTGGGTAGACTTGAGCCTCCAACCTTTCAGTCAGCAGCTGAGCTCATGAATAGTTTGCGCCATCCAGCCATCCAGGGACTTCTGAGAAGGAAAACACAAAAAAAAAAAAAAAAAAAAACCAAAAAAACTCACTGCCATCAAGTCAATTCTGATTCATAGCGACTCCCTTTGGGTTTCCAAGAGGGTAAATCTTTAGGGAAGTGGGTTGCCCAGTCTTCCTTCCATAGAGTGGCTAGTGGGTTTAACTACCAGCCTTCTGATTAGGAGTCAAATGCCTTAGGCACTACGCCATCAGAGCTCCTTGAGAAGAAAAATAATAGGGCCCCAGTGCCTTTCTCACAACCTATGGGACCAGATTTGTTTCCAAATTTGGAATTTTGGGGGTTTGGGAAAGGTAATAGGGTACCTACACTGTATACTACACGATGCCCCCAACAAAGTCTGGGGCACTCTCTCTAATTCAAGACGTCAATTCTTCAGGTGATCCCAAGTCAGGTAAATGAAGACTACACAGTCCCTAGTCTGTTTGGATCGGGTTTGGGTACCAAGTGAGTTCAGGTCACGATGTATTTTGATGCTAAATGAGTTAGGTTAAAAAAAAAAATCATGCTTTTAGAGTTTTTTGGAATTCTAGAAGTGGTATGATGACAGATGGTGGAACTCGAACGGTTTCAGGTTGCTGGGCTACTGAGAGTGAGACTTCCTTGAGCAATCAGGCTCCTGCCCAAGAGGGAAAGACAGAATCTCGGAGCTTGATTTCTAGAATCCTCTTCTCAGATCCTGAAGTGTTCTCTACCCACATGTAGTTGTCACTTTTCATGTGAGTTGGCTGAACTCATCAGAGAAAATATACCGCCGTGGCACAAACACTGGGGCGATATGTGTCTGGAGCCAGCCTTTGTGACCTTACAGATGAGGGTGTATAGAATCCGGTGAGGCCACAGATTGCAGGGCCCTAACCCGCCCTGTTAGTGCCCTCTGCGTTGCTTGGAGATTTTCTTGGCTCCAAAACTGTGCAGTTGCCATTCTGTACTTAGATCCCAAACCAGATGGTGGGAGGTAAAAAATAGAGACTTCCATATGGCTCTTGAGGGTTTTTTTTTTTTTTTTTTTCCTCCTTCAGAGTTCTCAGTCTTTTTTCCATGGGGGCAAGGAGGAGGTTTAGATACAGGCTGACCAAGAAATATTTGCCAAAGGAAAATGCCACCCTCAACCTTGCAGTTACAAGAGTAGGGACCCTCCCCCCACTTCCTGATCCCCACTGGAAAGGCCAAGGTGATTCCCATTTCCTTCACCTTGACATTTCCATGTCTTCCTTTGCTGCTCTAACTTCCCAGTGGAATTATATCTTTAGGACTTAGATGCTTACTCCTCCACCATCTGGTTCTTTCTTCCATTAAAAAAAAATTTTTTTTTAATGTCTTTGAGCAGGTAGCATCCACATCTTCTTGAGGCCTAAACCAGTGGCCGTGGACTTGACTCTGACTCATGGCGACTCCATGTGTGTCAGGGTAGAACTTACTCCATAGGGTTTTGGGGAAAATAGATGGCTAGGCCTTTCTTCCAAGCCCCCCCCCCCCCGGGTGGACTTGAACCTCCAACCTTCTGCTTAGTACCCAAGTGCGTAACTGTTTATGCCACCCAGAGACCCTCTCTAGGCCTACAAGAAATCAAAAGATGGATGGCCCCATGGGCAATTTTGTGTGATGCTGCCTTAGGGGCTGAGACTGGAGACAGTGGTGAAAGAAAGAATACTTAAAGCTAAATTAGTCTGCAGTTGTGGGGAGGGACATTGTGCTTACCTATATGGGTGACTATAATTTGTGTTATACAAAATGTGGTCCCTGGACCAGCAGTATTCACATCACCTCGGAGCTCACTAGAAATGAGGAAGCTCAGACCCCACCCAGACCCGGGGCATCAGAGTCTGCACTCTAACAGGATCTCCACGCAGTTCCTGTGCACATTAAGGTTTGAGAAGTACTTATTTAGAGCAAGTACCAAGAGCATGAAGGAAGAAGACAAGAAGGAATTGAATAAATGAATTTACCCTCACAACATCTAGAAATCTCTTTATCTTTGCAAAAGATTGACACACAGAACTGTTTACCACATTCATTCAATCATTCATTCATTTCTCTCTATTTATGGGGAGGTGTATCAAAGAATTGTCATGGCATTCATCCATGCACTGAGTCCTGGTGGGTTTGGAGGACAATGATTTTGACCTTGATTCTCTTCTCTCCTCATCTGAAATCATGCTTCTTTTTTTCCTTGGTGAAGAAGATTAGGGAAAGGACAGTGAAGGTGGGAAGTTTGTTTCTTGTGGCAAAGAGAGGGACAGAGGAGAAAGTAGTTGATGGGAACTTGGGAGAAATTCTTTTGCTTCTTTAGTAGAATTCACTGATGTGCAAGACGCTGTTACTTAAGATTGGCTGCAAGTTCATGGACCAAGGATAAGGACACATTTGCATGTGCACCTGTAATTCAGAGTTCAGTATTCACAAGTAAGGAGTAGAACAACCACCCACTTCACCCATCATCGTTCCCCCTTCCCTATCTCCGAATAGTGTGCTGATGCTTGAATAAAGATGGCCATAAACCCAAAACCAAACCCACTGCCATCGAGTCAATTCCAACTCATACCATCCCTATAGGACAGAGCAGA